AGCCTTCCATCTCTCCGGGGTCGGTGAATTGGTACCAGACCTGTTTGGGAGGATAAAACACTGTCTTGTACATCGGTTGGCCACTGCAAGTTACTTTATTGGCCACATACACATTCAATGCGCCTCTGCGATTCTGAATGGAAGTTGAATGCGGAGGCGCATCCCTCAGGCGGGATTGATTAATGCCGAAAGACCTCATCCTTTTGTCCTTTATAGAGAAACGCAAAAAAGTCTCGATTAGGAGTGGACGGGTTATGCCACCCCTTGGTCTGGGCACCCATTCAGCTGGGTATTTTCTCTTCGTGAACCGCTTCAGTTGCTATTAGCCTTCCTTGTAGGGTAGAAAACTCGATAGGTTCCGAAGTTCGCGACCAGCGCATGTATATCATGGCCCTGCTACTACGTCTTCTTCAGAAGGAACCCAAAAATGAAAAATAGAAACGAAGTGACGCTGAGGTGGTTTGCGGCTCAAGAGTTATTTTTGAGGAATGTTATAAAGATTGTAATTGCGATACTAAAGACATCCCTTTACAGGCACTTGGTGGTAATGTAACCTCCTTCGCTACCGACTACAACCCTGATGCTCTTGAATGTACAAAAGAAACGGGACGGCTCAACGATGTGAAGATTGAGGTTGTTCGTACTGATCTCGACGATGGGTTTGATCATCTTGAGGTGGGCATTTGAGGTTCTTCATCGCATTCATGACAAGGTCGCGTTTATATGCTGGTTGGAATAAAAATGCTTGAGTGCTCAAATGAGAACCAGCAAGTTTTTGATAATTCGATAATTATTTTTTTATATAATTTTCTGACTTTTTGAAGAATGAAATTTTGAGTAAAATAAAGTTATTATATATAGTTTCTGGTTTCGGTGTTTATGAGTCACACTATGATGTTTTCATTGCAGTGATAGAACTATTCGAAGTATGTTCAAGATTAACGCAATGCGCATTTTGGCGAATTTTTTGATTTAATGATCCATAAGGCCGGATAAGATCAAATCGCCCAATAATTTACATTCGAGTTGACATTTTTGTCGTATTCTCAACACACCTCTTGATCCAATTAGGGCGTAACGCTCAACAATCTCATTGACTGGTCTTCCGGGTTAGCTTCCCGTCATACCTCCGAACAACCTATAGTCAACGAAGTAGTTATGTTCCTAATAGTCCTCCGTTGCCTAGTCAGCCCACTTATCTCAGAGCATTTACCAGTCAGCCAACCCTTCGATGTGGAACACAAACACCTTCTTTCTCTCAGCAAAGCTTTCCTTGATCCTATTATTGCGAAGTAACTCACCAATATCGTCTAGGTCACAGTTCAACATTTGTAGATTCTTTTATATTGAAACAGGGACTTGAGATTCTGCCATTTATACTCGCCTACACTCTTCATTGCTACAAACTACCATCTCAGCTCTGGCAATATTAAAGGCTATATACAATCCATTCCGCCTGGCTTGTCCGGCATACTCGGACGATATAGAGTCACGTCCAGGGTAGGCGATTGCTCGCGCTGGACAGTTATTTTTCGTTTTAGTCGCCTTAATAAATGGGTAGTTTTCAGGCGCATTCAAGCTAGAAAAGCACGAGCGTTGGTCGCAAAAGGAATTGATATCACATATAGATCGAATGGTATGCATGGTAGTGATGATGGATAAGGCATGAAGTTGTGTGGCATTGACCGATCTTTTAGAATTTTCCCCTCCCCACCCCTCGCGCGCGCATTCGACTCACTCATAATACTTATGGCGTTTTAAAGTGTATGTTGGCTAAATAATCATTTATCAGGTGATGTAGAAGTTAGTTCTCCCATGCCTTCACATGAGGCTGATTTCATTAAGCCAACCCCAAGAAGACGAGGACCTGGTTGAATTAGGCGGGCATCGAAAAGGGTTCAATCTTCAACCATGCCTGTGATAATGAGCCGCTCGATACGATATTTCCACAGTGCTGATAACATTAAGAATCATTGCATGTCTTTAGTGCCTCACCCTTTCTTGATACTAGTGAACAGATGCATCAACTTCATGCATAATGCTGCTCCTATCAAATATTTCGTGTTTTATGCTACTAATGCTAAAAGCCGTTCTAAAGTGTCTGACAATGAAATCATGGGCAACTCGATAGAAAAACGATTGCTCTATAGACCAGCTCTGTGCGGCGTGTCCATACTTTTAGAGATTTTAATGAACCGGTTTTCCAGAATAAAGTGGATATACTACTGTTCAATCCGCCTTATGTACCGACAGATGAAGAACCGAAAAACGACCTCGTAAGTGTCCAATTTTTTTAGTTTCAATTTTCGGCCCCACGATATTAGAGATCACACAAAGCAACAGTATTTATTTCTTATGATTTCTATTTAATTCTTCAAAACAAAAAAATAGCGAAGTAATACAGGTGAACAGATATCCACTCTGATAGTTAAAGAGCTGAATCCTGTCTAGTTAGGATTCGGACATAATGTAGACTAGGCAAAAACCCAGCAACGACGCTACTAAGCCAGCGGGACTCCTCCAAAAAAGAGTTGCCTGCACAACTGCAAAGAGGCTATAACCTTACTTTTCTATCTGAAAATCTGAAAAATCTGTAGTAATTATCTGAAAAACAATCATGGTCACACTAGTCGAACACATGCGAAACATGCAAGAGCTTCTGAATGAACTGCCCAATATTTTTTTGGAAACAGTCATGCTTCGAATACTTATCATTGTATGCATGCAAGTTTAGGAGCGATGCTGGGCCGGAGGCCCAAACGGTCGAGCAGCCTTGGACCGTTTTCTGCCTCGAGTCTCGCGACTTCTGTCTGACAAAGGCGTCTTCTATTTGGTTGCATTGCATTCGAACGATATTCCTTCCCTGCTATGTGCTTGTCCTGATCTTCAAGGTGTTGTGACGATGGAGCGACGATGCGGCATTGAACATCTGTATATAATTAAATATACTAGGAAAGAATCAGCATGATTTCTCCGTATCACTGCTAGTAAATACATACTATTCTCAAATTTTGTTGTTTATGTTGATCGTTTAGTTGATTTGAGGGCCGATGTTTTCCAGAAAAGGCTTAGCAATTCTTCGGAAGTGTTAGATTCTCTTAAACATCAAAAATTGTAGGTAAAATATAACAATGTTGAGTAGAAGCCAAGAAAAATCTATTTGTGATCAGAACTATCGTATGAAACAGAGTATCTACCCAAATTGATCTCTTCGATGATGTTGTGTTCCAGATGGTGTAGTCAAGGGGGCAATCTCTGAGAAGGACTTGTTTTCACCCTTATTGAATTCCACCTTAAAGTGTCTCAAGAGCTGCTGTTATTTCGAGAAGAACTTCAAATATCAATGGTGGTACTGGAAGGATGGTTTCTACAAACGCAGCTACAAACCCATCAATAGAATTATTCCCTATCTGGTATTTCCAGGTGCCTGTTCCCCTTTCCCATCGCACTCTATAAAGGATAAAGGATAAAGATTTTGGCGTTAATCAACCCTGTCTGAGGGATGCGCCTCCGCATTCGACTTCTTTTCAGAATCGTAGTGACGTATCAAATGCGTATGTGGCCTATACAATGTCTTGCATTAGCCCGCCGATGTACAAGTCAGTTCTTTTGTAGTCCCAGACAAGAGAAGGGAGAACAATGATGTTAGTTGTATTAACAAGTTACTAGAAACATCAAGTGGTGATTCAAGTCTGGTACCTACACCACCTCCGCCCACCGCACTCTAGGACTTCATAGAATTACTTCTACTCGTTAAGCAAACATAGGAACATGATGGTAGTTTGGGATCTGCTTACGAGAGGACGAGTTTCCTCGACTGAATTATTTCAAAGACCTAGCAAAAAGCAAAAATATGATATAATATAAGAGTCCTTTCACATCAAGTCGAACAAGCAATCCGCTTTGTTATCTCTGTGTTCGACTCAAACTGACTTGCTAGTTGTTCATTTGAATGCAGAGTTCACTACGAAAAATGGTTTCCGATACATCTCTGTAGA